CTTTTCGTTCTTTTTTAAGATGTCAAGGTGACACTGAAGATCAAGTCAGCCTAGTGGCCTGTTGCACTTATGAGATGGAAGCAAAAAACAACGTCAGGCAGCTGGCTGCTCCAGACATTAGCTCAGTTCTGCTAGGTATAATAAGTTGGTCAAGCTGCCTTGGCTACTTAATCTGTCTAGCTCACCTGCTTCACAGCTGAAAAATGAAGCTGGAGGTATGTTGATAAAGATTTGCAGAGATCCAAAATGATGCTCCTTATACTGGCTTGAAGTATTCTTCTTTCCTCTGCTCAGTGGCACAAAGACCAGCTTCAGGAGGTATTTTATAATATAATAATAAAGTTGGAAGGGATCTTGGAGATCATCACGTCCAACCCCCTGCTCAGGCAGGTAACCCTATACCATTTCGGACAAATGGCTGTTCAGTCTCTTCTTAAAAACGTCCAGTTTTTCCCACAGTGTTGGAGCATTCATCGCTTCTGGAGGCAGGCTGTTCCACTGGTTAATTGTTCTAACTGTCAGGAAGTTTCTCCATAGTTCTAGGTTGCTTCTCTCCTTGGCTGGTTTCCATCCATTTTCAGGCACTTTGGAGAACAGCTTGACTCCCTCTTCTTTGGGACAGCCCCTGAGATATTGGAAGACCGCTATCATGTTCCCCCTCATCCTTCTCTTCTTTAAACTAGACATACCCAATTCCAGCAGCCGTTCCTTATATGTTTTAGCCTCCAGTCCCCTAATCATCTTTGTTGCTCTTCTCTGTATTCTTTCTAGAGTCTCAACATCTTTTTTACATCGTGGTGACCAAACTAGATGCCGTATTCCAGGTGTGGCCTTACCAAGGCCTTGTAAACATGATCTTGATTCTATCCTTCTGTTAATGCAGTCCAGCACTGTGTTGGCTTTTTGGGCAGCTGCAGCACACGGCTGGCTCCTATTTAAGTGATTGTCCACTAGGACTCCAAGATCCCTGTCACAGTTACTACTATTGAGCAAGGTACCCCTATACTATACTTGTACCTTTGGTTTTTCTTGCCTAAATGTAGAGCCTTAATTTTTCACCACTGCATTTCATTTTGTTAGATAGCGCCCCATGTTCAACTGTGGAAGAGGGCATGGAGATGTTGTTGGTTCTGTTTGTGTTGGCCTTGTAGGTAGATTGTAATCTGGAGGGCCTCAGATATGCTGGGTTCACGTCCCTTCCCTTTCCAGAGAAAGGAGCAGATGGAGAAAAACATCAAGAAAATGTCTAGGGGAGATTGCAGGTGGTTTCACACAGGGCACCTACCAGTGTTGCTGTCAAGATTATCAGGCAACACATATCAGTTGTTCAACAGCCTGCAAACATTTACAGATTTTATTCATTTATATGTCACCCATCGGACTATCAAGTGGCTCTGGACGGCTTTGGGGCTTTTGGAGAGGAGAGAATCTTCCGTTCTCAACCTGTATGGAGGAAATGCTCTAAGCCAGGGGTCTCCAACCTTGGCAGCCTAAAAACTCGTGGACTTCAACTCCCAGAATTCCTCAACCAGCCATTGAAGTCCATAAGTCTGCCACGGTTGCGGACCCCGATTCTAAGCTACCTAAACCAGTGGTGGCGAACCTATGGCACGGGTGCCAGAGGCGGCACTCAGAGCCCTCCGAGACTGTCTCCCTAGCCCTGCCCCCTCCTCACCAGCAGCCCTCCCGGAGGAGAGTTGCCCTGGACATAGTAGCCGGACAGCGGGGACAAGACTCTGCCCTTGCGCCCTGTCGTGCGCAGATGCTGCTGTGGGGCATGGATGGAGGGCCTGGCCGCCATGGCACTGCTGGGCTGCCTGGGTGATCTGTGGTGGGCCGTGGAGGTGGTGGGTGGCCCAGTGGGCAGGGCGGAGCAGGGACAGGGGTGGGGGGCAGTTTTTGGGCACTCGGTCTCTAAAAGGTTCGCTATCACTGACCTAAACGATGACCATCGCAGCTGGCTTGGAAATTTTTGTTTCAGCACAGTGTGTTCTTTTGCAATAATGAGTGTTTCTTATATCTTTGGACTTTCTTAATTCTTCCTTTCCTTCCCCAAGAAGAAGAAGGCAATAATAATAATAATATAATAATAGTAGTAGTAGTAGTAGTAGTAGTAGTAGTAGTAGTAATAGTAATAGTAATAATAATAATAATAATAATAATAATAATAATAATAATAATAATAATAAAGTTGTAAGGGACCTTGGAGGTTATCTAGTCCAAACCCCTGCTCAGGCAGGAAACCCTATACCATTTCAGACAAATGGCTGTCCAGTCTCTTCTTAAAAACTTCCAGTGTTGGAGCATTCACTGCTTCTGGAGGCAGGTTGTTCCCCTGGTTAATTGTTCTAACTGTCAGGAAGTTTCTCCTTAGTTCTAGGTTGCTTCTCTCCTTGATTAGTTTCCATCCGTTGCTTCTTGTCCTGCCTTCAGGTGCTTTGGAGAATAGCTTGACTCCCTCTTCTTTGGGGCAGCCCCTGAGATATTGGATCACTGCTATCATGTCCCCCCTCATACTTGGAAGCTCCAATTATATCTCAGCCAGAGGTGCTTAAGTAACATTATTTTCCAAGCAAAATATGAAGAAGCTGAATCAGTGTGGAACGAAAGACAGGGAGTAATATTTATTTATGAAGCTCAGCTGGATAAAGTCAGGCTATCTTAAAAACCACCCAACATGGGCAGATTTACATTCTCATGGCACTCGTCTTTCTCTGCTTTTCTTCACCATTCGTTTATTTCCCTGGCTCAAGGCAGATTTTTCCATTCCTTGGGATGGACGAGAACCAAGACCTGTGTGTCAAACTCACAGAGACCTTTCCAAATGTAGCTGTAATATTTAGTCAGTACAATACAGGCCCTGGATCAAATCTTGGAGTGCCTGGGCCCCTGTTAAGGATCTTAGGAATCCACGTAGAACACATCGTTGAGGCATGTCTTGGGCCTCCCTTGGGGAAGAAATATATTCAGACACTCCAAATGACAGACATAGATAAGATAAGATAACCTTTATTGTCACTTTTTTACCGGTGGGCACAACGGCACACATCAAAAATAAAATTTAGTTGCCTGCTCTCAAAGTGAAACACATACACGACACACACCTAAACATACTATGTACAACATATGTATAGATGCACACCCCTACATATACATAACAAATAAATATTAAATACTGTCCATCTTGAATATATAACAGAAGGAGGAAGCTTGAGAGTTCACAAGGTTAATGCTGTATGGGATGAAACTATGGCTGAATCTGGATGTTCTGCTACAGATACCACAAAGTCCCCTTTCCAGAAGGTAACAAGGAAAACAGGTCGTGAAAAGGATGTGTAGTGTCCCAGATAATCTTACGGACCCTGCTCAAGCAGCGCTTCTGTGCTATGTCCTGGGTGGGAGGGAGGGAGCTGACATTTCTCTAAAAGCATGATAGATGATCAACTTTGGCCAATGTTCTTTGAAGATTTATTTGACTTCAATTCCCATTATCCCATAATTCCCATAAGCAGTCTAGGATCATGGGAGTGAAGTCAAATTTCGTAAGAGAGAACCAGGTTGGGAAAAACTGGCTAGTCCTAAGCTACTACTTTGCTTGCTTCTTTGTTCAACTAAAACCCATACATTTGGCCCCAAAAGAATGCAAAAATGGTTCAGCACCTGTGCTAGAATTGATTGCCGTTAGTCAATAGTTCAGGCTATGCTAAAAAGCCAAGTCTGGAAAACCAGCCACTCGCCTCTGGATTCTTAAGCTGGGATTGTGTCTTGGTGGTTGTTTTAAGAGCAGTGGTTCTTGTGAGATGCACTTAGGGAAAAGTGGCGTGCAACACAGCTTAGGTTTGTGCAAGGAAATCTGGACTCCCTTTTCTATAACTGAGAAAATTGTTCCCATGAAATGAAAGCAAAAATGAGCCCAAGTTTTTTCTCTGTGGCTTCATGTCTGCCTCTCCTGTCTTCTAACATACCCATCTAGAGTCTTGGTATTACATCCCCAGGAACTTTGGACTAATCCAGTGGTGGCGAACCTTTTAGAGACCGAGTGTCCAAAATCTTGGTGACCTGAAGATGAGTGGGCTTCAGTTCCCAGAATCCTTGGAGAGGAAGTTCACACATCTTTAAGTTGCCAAGGTTGAGACCCTTCACCCCCCCCCCACCCAGTATCCAACCAACATTACAGAGGCATGGAAGGACCTGCTCTTATTTTATCACCTAATAAAATTGGGTATTTTTTAAAAAGTGACCCAGGCAAACATCAGTGTGCAATAAATTGTTGCTGACTGTTGATTTGGTCTGCTCAGCACAGATACTTCACTCCCAGTTGCTCTTTCTTTCTTAGCATGCATTGATTTTTTTTATTGCATACAGCCCTGAAAGTCTTTCTTTCTTTTTCTTTCTTTCTTTCTTTCTTTCTTTCTTTCTTTCTTTCTTTCTTTCTTTCTTTCTTTCTTTCTTTCTTTCTTTCTTTCTTTCTTTCTTTCTTATTATTTCTTCTCCCTCCCTCCCTTCCCCATTTCATCTCCCTCCCTCCCTGTTTCTCCTTCCTTCCTTCCTCCCTCCCTTCCCCATTGCAACCCCTCCCTGTTTCTCTCTCCTACCTTCCTCTCTCCCTCCTTCCTTCCCCATTTCATCTCCCTCCCTCTCTCCCTGTTCTTCTCTTCGTTCCTTCTTTTCTTCCTTCCTCCCTCCCTTCCCCATTTCAACCCCTCCCTGTTTCTCTCTCCTTCCTTCCTTTCCCTTCCTTCCTTCCTTCCTTCCTTCCTTCCTTCCTTCCTTCCTTTTCACCCACTGTCCGTGCACCTTTATTCATCCTTAATGACCTCCGAAGCTGCCCCTCATTTAAAAGCTGTGATTTCTCCACCTCCATTTCTCCTGCCTTCCAGGATTGGATGGGCTCGGGCTAATAAGTGGGTGGTTTCAGGGGAGGAAGACATAGGCACAAACGGATTGCCCACCTCTTCTCATTTAAATATTACAACGAATTGTGCTGATATAGAACCGGGCATCTATTTCACCTCTTGAACTTTTCTGTCTCTCTCTCTCTAGACCAGTTATTTTTGATCAGCCATCTTCTGGCTGAGCTTTTCTTATATTCTGTGGGGAGATTTGGTTTTAAAAATTTCAATCTGGGGCTCCTTTGGGTCATTTATTTTCAAACTCTTGAGACCCAACCATGGGATCCAAGCAAGTCCTAGTCACTTACAAGAGAGGTAAGTAAATCTCCTTGGCTTTCTATCTTGCTGAAACCCCAACTGGACTAAAGAGAAGGAAATGTGCTGGAGTTATAGATAGGCATTGCCAGAGAAGAAAAATACACTTGCGTCATCATAGCAGATGCTGATCTCCAGGTATCACAAGGAATGCTATTTAAAAAGAGCCGAAGGGGGAAGGGAGACTTATAATCAGAAATGCTCATTTGCTGTCCAGGAGCTCATTCTGGTTAGGTCCCGCCAAGGGTTGATTCTTCCAGTTTCTTGTGGTCCTTTATCCTCAAAATAGACTTGAAATGGACAGTCCTAAGTTAAGTCAATCTTCTTCACAGTCAAAGACCCAGGCACGCATTTGGTTTCAAAGCCACTATTCAAAAATAGGGGGGGGAGCTGTCTTAGGCTATGCCAATCTTTAGCTATTGGCAGAGGAAAAGAAAGTAGTCTCCCCGCCATTATTAATGGGGAAGGCAAAGGAAGCTTGTTGGCCTCCAGACATGATGTGAAGGCTTTTGTTTGCGAGATACAATGAGAAAAGGGACTCTGGTTACAGTCCAAACACTGTTCCAGTGTCACCCAGATGTCTTGTGATGATAGATAACTTTGAATGCAATGTTACAAATGACAGAATGATCAGCGTCAGTGCCTTGAAAAGCTTCCAGAGACAAATTTGCAGAGTAAAATGGCTGGTCTTTTTATTTGCAAGCTTTTTTTCTTCTTCTTCTCCTTTTTAAGTGGTATTTAGTCTCGCCGTCTGTGAAAGCAGAAAATAGCCTTTTGCTGAAAATGGACTTAATAACTCTTGGGTATTTATAGGGATGTAATGTCCCCTGGATAGCTTTCTCTGTGCATTAAAAGAGTGATTTGGTTAACTATGCTTTACTAGTTTGTGCTACAGCTGGCTTGGTTAGCACAAAGCTCAGCTGTAAAACATGGTTTATAAGCCACAAGATCTGGGGTTATGTTACCTGCTATGTCTTTGCTGGTTTAGTGCAAAGTTGTTCTTCTTCTTCTTCTTCTTCTTCTTGTTTTCCTCCTCCTCCTCCTCCTCCTCTAATAAGCGATGCTCTCCACTGAAGAGATACTACCTCAAGAAGAGAAAAGAAGCCCTTCCTAAGAACATCATGATGCCCAATTGCTACAATGCATCAATTGATCCAACCTCAGTTGTGTTCCTCTTGTTTGTCTTCTGTTGACAGCTCCTTGCAGGTATTCTGCTCTTCAACAGGGAGAATTTTTTCCTGACACAGTAATGTACCCTGAAATTTTCCTAAACCTTTTAAGCGAGTAAGATCCAACAGATTCTTCTCTTCCCTTCAACCATAACCACTTTGGTGGTTCAGAAAACATTAATGCAATCAGCCCAACATCTCTTGCTGTTCCCACCTCCAACAAGGAATAGTTGAATATTTTCCCCATCCCAGGAAGTTCTATTTAACTATATTAAATGATAGCCAGTAAATGTTACCACCTCAAATATGTTTACTGGACCTTGAAAAAAATACCCCAAGGAAGGATCCTAACTTGAGTGCATGTATTGGACAATCATTTTCAGACTAAAAGTCACTGTAATTACAAAGAACAGGATGATGCGCTGAATGATCCATTGGCATCTTATGACTTTTCTCATTGGTTTGAGAGAGACAAAACATCACGCCTTGAATTATTTTAATTCTCTCTGACTCGCCTGCATTTCCTGAAGATATGCAGGGAAAGGTTTACAGGAATTCTCCGTGTCTTGTTTGCATAGCTCATATCTGAAACCCAAATCAAATTATCTTTACAACAGAATGAGGGGCTCAGAGATGGCAGAACACTCTGTACTTCCCTTGCGTGCGGAAAATGAATACGTGAAGTGATACAGACAGAGGCAGGGAAGCCATGTCAACGAACACAGATTATCAAGATGATCCACTGAGATAAAATCATAAAAACAATAAAGATGTAAACAAAAGCATTTGAGGGAGAAAATATCCTTGGTTTCCTGATGCACTATGATCACCACGCCGATGAAACCTGTGGTGCAACCATTGGAAAATATGTATTTATGTAAGCTGTAGTTAGGACTTTGCTCGGTGCAAAATAATTCCAGTATCAGGCACTTGATGGATTCAGGTCAACATCCAAACTTTGCTTTTTCAGAAGACCCACCCTCTGCCTTTTGAGTTGATGGCAACATAGATCAAAGCTGGGTTGTAAAGCAGCAATCGGAGATGGGACATCCCATTCCGTGCAGTGTCACCTAAATTAAGCTGTCATAAAGGTTGACATGTGATATGGCAGCACACTAGGAATAGAAACCTACAGGAGGAACAAGAGAATCTACTTCAGTGGTTCTCAACCTGTGGGTCGGGACCCCATTTGGGGTCGAATGACCATTTCACGGGGGTCGCCAAACAACGCAGTCCACCATTTTTTCCCCCTTTTCCTTAGCTGTGCTACTCCCTTTTATTCTATTGGCTTTTGAAAGCCAATAGAATAGACTCTCTTGAATAGAGTCTAATTCTATTGGCTTTCAAAAGCCAATAGGAATTGTCCAGGCTGTCTCTGCCCTGCTGAGCCCGCCAAAAGTCCCATTCTGCAAACGGTGCTGCACCAGTTGAGTAGTCCTCGACTTACGACCGGTTAAGTAGTCCTCGACTTACAACCAGTTGGGGGGGCGCGGCATTAAAAAGGTTGAGAACCACTGATCTACTTCAGTGGCAATGCCTTGCGCCCAGAAAGTGGCCAGCAGAATCCAGGAAAACATTAGAAAAGGCATGTCCCAAAGGTGCTTCTTCCAAAAGGGAACTGGACTTTCTTGTTTTTTTCTTTGAAAATGTTTCACTTCTCATCCAAGAACTGAAGAAATGTCACGGATGAGAAGTTTTCAAAGAAAAAAAAACCCCAAGAAAGTCCAGCTGCCTTTTGGAAGAAGCACCTTTGGGACAACCACGACCTGGATGATGGGGAATCTCCATAGACATTGGAACAGGCATGTCTGTTCTTCAGAGAGGAAAGGTTGAAGGGCCCAAGGGGGTGAGGAACAAGAGGAACAGTGGAGAAATGAGAACATTCTAGATCAGAGGTCCCCAAACTCTTCAACTGATCAACCTCTTCAAGAAGTTGCAGGTTGTTCATCAACCCCCAAGCATTTATTATATGAAAATAATTTAATAGTACTGTTTTAACAATTAGTACTATGAACAATAAGAACAACACTGACCCCTTAGATAGGCCCATGAACCCTTGGAGGTCAATATTGAACACTCTTGAAAACCTATTTATTGTTCCTTCTCTCCTTAGCACCATTTCTGAAAAGAGAAAATGTATCTCAAAAGGGAAAGGCTTTAACAGAATAACAGAGTAACAAAATTGGAAGGGACCTTGAAGGTCTTCTAGTCCAACTTCCTGCTCAAGCAGGAAACTCTATACTGTATCAGACAAATGGTTATCCCCAAAAAAATTTTTTTAAATCCCCAGTTTTGGAACACCCACAACAGCTGAAGGCAAGTCATCCACCGATTAATTGTTCTAACTGTCAGGAAGTTTCTCCTTAGTTCTAGGTTGCTTCTCTCCTTGAATAATTTCCATCCATTGCTTCTTGTCCTGCCCTCAGGTGCTTTGGAGGTTTACTCTCTCGCGACATAATATGCTACTCCATAAATATAACTCTTTCAAAAAGTTTAACTTCCGGGGGTTCCGTGGACGAATTCATATGATTTCCATACAGAGGTGGTTTTCTATTGCCTTCATCCAGGATGACAATAAAATTGATTGATTGCTTCTGTTTCAAAGAGGTCAGACTGTCTCAAGTGCCGTGGAACAAGCTGATCTTAAAGCTGGCCCTATTTAACTAAAAAAAAACCCAGACCACCTTGGATAACAGATCTCCACTGTTGGGGATGGAGTATTGGCTTTGCACAGTCCTAACAATTCGACTTGAGTTTGCTAGTTTCACTTAATGTGAATCGGGAGAGCATCTTGTTTCTCACAGATTCACAGTTGAGATTTCCTTCAGGGCTTACTCTAGGCTGGTTTAGTGGCGTCCCGTTGATTTCTGCAAGAGATGCTTAGAAGTGTAATTGATGCCCAGTAACTCAGTGGTTCTTAACCTTTTTGAACGAATCGCCCCCTTGAGCCAATGAGGAAGTTGTCATCGCCCCCCTCCCCCAACATAACCTCTCAGTCACAACATAGGAAATAATTCTTCAATTTATGCAAACCCTTGTTTTGTTTTCTTTAAAATTGTCATCAGGACATATCGATGCAAATAATTTATTTCCAGTCTTTTTCCCGTATCTCCCATATTCTGGCCAATGGTGCGCCACTGTATGGGTAGAGGCTGCTGCACAACGTGCATGAAGATAAGCGATGCGTATTCACATATGTTTTGTACTGAAGCTAGTTGGAGGAACATTTGAAAACACAATTCAATCCACTAATAGCGAACGATCTGATGTTTTTGTACGACAGATATGCAGCGATTCGCTGTACGAAAAAGTCTCAAAAGTATCCCCAAAACTTCTCGCTCCATCGCCCCCATATCGCCCCCTTTTCGTTCCATCGCCCCCCTGAAAAATGAAATTGCCCCCTGGGGGGACAATATCGCCCAGGTTAAGAACCACTGCAGTAACTAAATCTATTGTTGCCTTTTCTTTCTGCTTTAAAAAAGCCTCTACGTTTCCAAACAGCAACTGGGTAGGAGCAAAGGTGATTACCTAATAAAGCACTTGCATCTGTTTCCTTAAAGGGAATGCTTGCGTTGCAGATACCAAGGGCATTTTATAGCCATCTTTCCTTGAGGCTCTGAAATCCAGTTTCTCGACGGTTTCGAAATGGGCCTTTGGCCTGAAAAAGTACAGCAATTCCCTTCTCAAGCGATAACTTCCTGACAATGAATTTTATCTGGGTAGTTCAATCCGGCGGTAATTAAATTGCAGTTAATGTTACATCTTTTACCTAGAAGAAAGTATGTTTCTTTCCCAATAATGTGATATTGCTGCCATAAAACTCCAGATAAG